CTCTGCGAGCGGCGGCACCTGCGGGCTCCGAATCCCCGGAGCGCGGCCCCGTTCGATCCGTGTCGCTGCCATTGTCCGCGTCATCCCCGGCGTTCCGTTCGAGAACGCGGGCGTCGCGCCCCGGGCTCCCCCGCGCCGGGCTCCGCGGGCCGGGATACGCCCTGGCCCCGCTCGGATCCTCCTTGGGGCCTAGGCGAGGGGGAAGGGTGCTGTGCCCTCGGCCCCCCGCCGGTTGTGTGGCTGGCTGCCTCACCCACGGAGCTGGTTTGATCTCCAGGACACCCGACCCCTGCTCTGGATCTGGATCTCCCTGCTCCCCTGCACTTGGAGTCTGCACACTGGGACTTGCGTCAGATCTCGGTTGCTTCTTTAGACCCTGGGTGACCCCCCTGGCCCTGGCTGCCCAGCCTGACAGGGCTGGATTAATGCAGAGGCAAACTAGGCACATGCTTAGGGACCTGAGCTGTGGTGGGGGCGATGGTAGAAATGGCCCCATCTGCTTCCCTTCCCTTCTGCTCCCCTGCGCCACAGCAGCTGCTTCCTAGCAGCAGCTCCGAGCCCCAGGGGCGCCAGGGGGAGGAGGGGGATCTCGACTGAGTTTGTTGGCCTAGGGGTCCACTAAAGGGTAATCCAGCCCCACTGACAGTCCTTGGGGGAAGTGCTCTGCCTCCATTTGGGGTTGCTTTGTCTTTACAAGGCTGAAGAATAGGTATAACTAGGGGTTGCTGAATATCTGGTTTGAATTACTCACTGAGAGGATCAATGCAGCCCACAGGTGATCACATCCACACCTGCAGGTATCTTCCACCCCTCCTTCTTAACTTCGGGTGCCCGCTTCAACCACCCACCACAACAAACGGGGTCGCTAGCATGATCCATTCTCACCTTGTCTGTGTCAATGCCTTTGTCTTTTTTTTTTTTGCCATGTCGTATTTTTATCCTTCCAATTACTGGTGACCTTTCTTTTTGCAACCATTACTACACTGCTGCTCATTATCCTCTGGATGGTCACAGCCAGGGCAGGCACAGCAAAGCTTTGCCAACACAGCATAAAATAACCACACGCAAAAATCACACGCTATAACTATACTAGCAAGCCCTAGCTGTGAATGACCCTATGCCAGTAGGGGGGGTGATATTGTTGCCTTAGGTTATGTTGTTCATAGAAAGGGTATCCCTCCCCCAGTAGATAAACTCTGCCAGCATACAAGGGGACCCTGCAGAGCAGCCATCCTGTCAGAGGTTGTTCTAGCACAGACAAACCCTAAGGATCCCCTTATTCACACACTATTCACACACTGGTGGCTTGTCCAGGGAAGAAACAGGAAGAGCCCTGGCTCCACACACCCCCTCCCCGCTTGCCCCTCACTCACTAAAAGGGCCAGGCAGGTGAGCAGATACAAGGTCAAGTCAAAGCTCCATGTGATCAAAACGGTCCCTTGGACTAACGTGGTTATGGCACATTTATTTATCAGATTTATATCCCGCCCTATCCAAAAAGGCTCAGTGCAGCTTACAATAAATCAACACACATCAGTTTCCATAGCCACTGGTACATGCAGGAGTGATGTGGCCAGCATTACAAGTTGTCTGTGACACCCCTGCCTGAACAACCAGATACCCATTTACATCTTGGGTTAAGTTGAATTCACACCTGTGGAGTCGTCATAAGGTGCTTTAACCGCTTGCACATCCCAGCCTGACATAGGTAATTATTGCTCCATAAAAGGGGTAAAGTGTCATTCCTGCCTAGCACAAGTGGTGAGCAGGGAAGGAATTGTGACACTGAAGAACAATCCATGGACTCAGCATGGTGCCATTTCATATTGTTCCTTTATGGGGGCAGATGGTAAGGTTAGGCCCAAAGATTTCCACTGGGTATTGGATAATGCTCGAGTGTGATAACTGAGTAACCGTCATGGACATCCAAAAGGCCAGGATTTCTCCTTTAATTGGTTAAAATTAAATTTGAAAGCAAGAGAAAGATGAAACCAGGATGTAATAGCAAGACTGTATACACAAAACCATGCCAGTTGAATTTAGCTTCCCCCTTAGCTCAAGAAAACCAGATGTAATACATTTATTAAGTAATTATTAACATTAAAGTCTTTACATCCATATTTTCCTGGGGTAAAAGACTTTGCACAAGATAGTATGGTTATGAATGAGATGGGACCCCATACATGTTAACCACATCAGTCATTGTCTTTAGCATGCAGTCTACATTTGCCCTGGGTGAAGAACAGTTTCTAACATAAAGTAACCCACCCACCAAATACAACACATCTTTCTTCTGCAGTTGGTCTTGAGCTAGGTGACAGAGCATAAGGTTGATGTGTGAGGTTTTCATGCCCTACTAATACATCACTGACTCTCTAGGGAGCACAACTAAGTGCCACTAAATACACAGGAAAGGTGAGAGCAGCATCCTAGCAAGCAGGCCTGCTTTACAGTCATCTTAGTGGTAGCACTAGTGACAGCTGTTAAAAATGGAAGATGCCAAATGAGGTGCGCAGTGGCACCAGCTGCTCCTTCTTCCTAGCATTTCATTCACTAATTTGATTTTTGAACTCAGAGAGAATGGGTGGATCTCAGTTTACAAACAAAAGGCTATATGCTAACCTCGAGAGCCTAGTGTATGCTGCTGAAAGATTATTTAACATCCCCTATGGACCTTGGTAATTTCTTAGCAAGAAAAACCACCAGAACTCAATTTTTTGACTACTTGATATTTCAAAAATGTCAGAAAATTTTTAAAATATACACTTTAATTATTATGCAGACATCTTGTTGACTGGTTCATTTAAATAAGATCAGAAATGAGCAGATATGAAATCCTGCAAATCTTATCTATAGGTATCAGTGCAGGTGTTCTTATTGATTATACTTTTAGGTATAAATTTAGGGAAAAAATTATCTCTGGACTATCTGAAAATATATGGGCACTATTCAAGATAGATGCATCAGTCTGTGGTTGTAGAAAGTATTATTAAACATTATGGCATTTGAAAATTTGCATGAGATTGCACAGTTGAGGACTTCACCTTATTATATGCATCCAAATCATTAGAGGTAAGATTAAAATTGAAAAATCTAGCATGAACTTCCAAATTTCCCATCTTTCATTGCTTCACTGCATAATCTTAATGTATTAATGCAGGGATTTTTGCATGTAATATACTAAAAGACACATCTAAGGAGATGGAACTAGATATATTAAGACATAGCTGAAATCTTTCAGCTGACTAATAGCTGGATTGAAACAAGAGCCTATGGATGTAACTCTAAAGAATCATGTAATTTGGGTTAAAAATGATTGCCCTGTTATTCCACTTAAAAGTACAAAAAAATGACAAGTTGCAAGTAATAATTTATCCTGGAACAACTTTGAGAATGATTACAAACTACTTTTCCAGAATTGCCCAGACTTCAAATTGTACATCCATTAGTATGATGCTGTAAGTCAAGGAAGCTCTTAAAAGTTTGCTTTTTCATTTGTTGTGGTTGCTATGCTAGTAACAATATGCCTCTGTAGCTCGCCAGTTTTTATGCACTCAAAGCTAGTGGTTCCCACTGGTGTCAGCAGGACTATTCCCATGCTTAAAGTTAAGCACATACATAACTGTTGGTTGGGCTGAGGCTTCAGATTCCTCATATATTCCGCAGAACCATGGCAAAACAGGCAGATATATGTCTCTAATGCTAATGACACCATCAGAAAGGCAAAATTAAATGGATGCAGGCTTTGGCTTTGATGACAGCAATTAGCAGCCAGCTTCAGGATTAGTTAGGCCCCTAGGCTGACATTATCATGCATGGTAATAAATCATACTGCAAATGAACCTATTAACCCCTTTATGCTATACCTGCCAACATCAAAAAATTGAAAAGTCTAAGGGGTTATATACATGTGCATTTCTACCTGGCTTTTGGGGGGAAGGCAGGGAAATGAATGCCACATGTCGCAATTTGTTTTTCTTTCTTAAAAATTGGGAGATTATTATATCCTACTTCGAGTAAAGCCAGCCAATAATGGGATTGAAGAATGCTGGGGACTGCTATATCCTGTCAGATGCAGACACCCCCCCCCCCCCCCCCACGAACACCAGACGCCCCCCCCCCCCCCCCCCAAGTCAGATAAGTGGCACCCGCATCCAACCCAGCCCTGCTTTGTGACCTGCCCAGTCCAGGCTGCTCCATGTCCCTTTCACTATAGTCATATAGGACACATCTTGAGATTTTCATAATAGTTTATGAGGAACCCAGAAAAACTGGGGTCTTAGGAGCAAAAGTCTGATGTTAAGTAAAATCTCTACTCTCCATTCGAAAATATGCCACATTTTATAAATTTCTAGTTACAAATGGTTAACTTTCCAGGCAGGAACGGGATCCAAAGTGTACCATAGACCATTCAAGTCTTTCAGTGGTCTTTTGATCATACCCATGTCCCCAAATTCTGTTTCATGCCCAGAGCTCTGTACAATAATAAAGGGAGTCCATTTGGACTGCAAGAACTTAGATATTTATTACAAGAGCCATGTGCTCAGTACTGCTCCTTTCAGCCATGTAGTATAGCATGCGCTTGGAGTTATTGTGAAACTCTCCAAGCACGCAGGCTTCCTACCCTACCAAACATCGCCACTACAGCTCGTGTTCCAACCTGCAGGTTTTTACAAATACTAGGTTTTTGTAAGTGGAATAACATGTAACTGGCAGAGGATATTCTGGTTTGTTATAATAATACCCCTGAAAAGAGATTAAATTTCTGGCTGGGAAAAAGTCAGCATCTACTTTACTGTTGTTTCATTATTCTTGCTATTAAACTTAAAACTCTTCCTGTACCATCGGCAATCAGGACGCATAGTAGATATGATATCTTTTATTAGACCAAGAAGATTTTTGCAAAAAAAA